CCTGTCCCCTTAACAAAGCTGGTCTGTGGGGCCAGCCCCCTCCTGCCGTCCCTGCGATTGGGCCCAGGGGCTGGCCCCGCACAGCTTCCGTCCTGCCTCTGAGCCTTTGCTCCTCACCGGAATGCCCTCCCTCTCCCATCTCCATCCATCCAAATGCTCCTGAAGCCTACGTCCCCCTAGCACCCCAGGGATGGGTGCTAGGGGGCGGACCTCAACGTGATTCATTCAGTTCAAGTGTGGATCAAAACACCAGACCAGGCCCTGCCCTCAAAAAGCTGGCTTGGTCTCCCACAGGGCGCCGGCTCAGCAGTATGGTGAGGGGTAATGAAAAGGGCTCTAGCAGATGGCATCGAGCACCACTCTGTGCCAGGCATTGTAATCAGACGCTGCTGCAGGGACTGGAGCTTTGCTCACTGTGGTCATTTCAATGGGCAGCTCCTTTTTTCAGCCTCTAGTCTTCAAGGTCAAAGGGCAGGGTGGCAGGCAGGAAGGACCCTCACTCTCCCTCCCTCTTCCAGGAAGAGGGGTTTGGTGTTTCGCAGGAATAGGAGCATGGCAGGAGACTTGACCACATGTCCCCAGCAGGGCCTGAGGCTGGGCCAGCCTCACTGTGGCAGATGGGAGGAGACAGGCCTGGGACCAGCTCAAGAGAGAAGGGGCCTTCACCTGGCCACCAAGAAAAACAACCTAGTATAGCAGGTGCTCACCATTCTTCACATCTGGACACTCTGTTTTTTGATCTCATCTCGTTTTGTCTCTCTATCTGTCCTGTGTAGTCTAGTGGTTAACTGATATTAGCCCCATTTTATAGATGAGGAAATCGAAGTCTGGAGGGATTATATCTCTTGCTTAATACACAGCGGGAGAGCTGGGAGCAGAACCCAAGGTCCTGGTACTCCCAAATGTAGCACAGGCCCATATCAACACTGCCCAGCTCTGCGTGTAGTGGATCCTTCAGCAGAGTTTGAAGCTGTCTGTGCTAACCCCAAATAGAGTCCTACCCCAGCCTCCAAGGGCAGGTGGGTCCTGATAGGAGTCATACACTAATAATATCAAAAATTAACTATTAAATGACATTTTCCACCCAAATACTTAGCACAGTGCCTGATATATACTGCTCAAGATGTGTAGGTATTATTATTAATAGTAACTTATTTAATAATTCCTCCTGGTAAGTGCTTTATGGTTTCCAAGGCACATTCCACAGTAACACTTAGGCAGTTGGCTAGGGGGCAACAGCCTCATTTGGCGGATTCCCCCAGAGGGGAGGTACCAGGGTCAAGGTCCCAGCTGTGGAGTGCGGAGTCACCTGCTCTGGGCTCCATCCTCCACACCAAGACTTGGAGCCGCCCACCTCTTACAGAGGCCCAGGTAGAGCCTGAGCCCTTTAAGAGCCCTGGGACCGAGCGCAGGGAGAAACCCAAGGCCAGGCCTCTCTGCATTCTCTGGGGGGAGTGAGTAGCCGCCTGGCATTTTCCCTTTGATACTGATACAGGCATTTTAATAGCTGCAAAGATCAGGCGGGTGCTGTTTCGGCTCTGGCCATGCAGGGCATTCCAGGAGGCCCTGGCCGCCAGCAGGGGTGGAGCGGGAAGGCTGCTCTGTCCAGGGCGGCTGGGGGTCCACACCGGGACCTTAGAAGATTTTCTGCCCACCCTGAGCCTCATCCTGGGCATGTCCCACCAGGAGCCTCCAACTCAGATGCCTAAGGGGGCCAGGCTGGTGAGCTAAGAGGGTGAAGCTGGGTACTGCGGTGACCTGGGCAGCACATGCCTGCCTACCTAACAGGGGCAGCCATCACTCAGCCTCACCCAGTCATCATCATGACCCAGTATCACCAGATCCTTCCACTGTACAAGAGAGACCAAAAATCCAGACCTTTATGTGAAATCTCCTGATTTGTAAGCAACAGCTATTTATTGAGCACCTACCATATGCCAGGCCTTGTTCTAGGCACTGGGGATATGGCAATGAATAAAACAGACCAAAATATCCATGTCCTTGTGGAACTTACTTTCTAGTGATCGCAGTAGGCAGTAAGCAAGATAAATGAACCAACAGTACAACAAAATCCAGAGGAAAAAGATAAAACAAGGAAGAAGGATAGCAAGTATATTACAGGAGGGCACCAGGGGCAGAGGAGGCCTCACTGAGAGCAAGATGGCAGGCCAGCAAGTTCAAAGGCCCTGAGGTAGGAGAAAGCCAGGCCTGCGCAGGAGCATCTAGGAGGCCTGTGTGGCCCCCTGGTGGCCGTGTTGAGAATGCTCTGTGGGGCAAAGGCAGGGGGACCCATCAAAAGGTTCTCGCCGTGACCTGGCCAGAGATGACCAGGCTTGAACTGGGTGTAGTGTGGAGGTGGTGGAAAGGGGTCAGATCCTGGATGTGTCTAGAAAATAGAGAGCAGGAGTTGCTGACCAAATGTGCGTGGAGTGAGAGAGAAGGAGGCATCCCTGATGATCTCAAGGTCTGGCAAGATGGAGTCGCCATTCCCTATGACAAGGAAGACAGCAGAGGGGCAGGCCTGGCGGGGGGTGGGGCCAGAATATGAGGAGTCCGGGTTTGCCGAGCTCATTTTGAGATCCTATCAATGGAGATGTCAAGTAGGCAGCTGGATATGTGCGTCTGGTTCTGGAGGAAGATCCGGGTTAGAGGTGCAGGGAGGGTGGCATTGTCACCCACAGATGGCGTTGAAGACATGAGGTGGGGGGAGGGTCCCCAGGAGCCAGAGCAGAGAGGAAAGCAGTGAGGCTGGGCCCTTCGGCCTCCGCAGAGATGAGAAGCAACCGGCAGAGGAGATAGAAGGAGCACAGAGTGACAGGAGGGAAACTGGGAGAGGGGCATCCTGCTGCCCAGTGAGGAAAGTGTGTCAGGGAGAAGGCGGGGCTAGCAAACACTGTGACAGGCTGGGCTGAGGACAGTCCCCTGGGCTTAGCAGCACCGAGGTCGCCGGTGACCTGGGGGATAGCACCCGGCGGGGGGCGAGTAGGAGCCCGGCGGGAGTGCTCCAGGAGAGAGAGAGGAGGAGTTTGCCTCGGATGGAGCTTGGTCGGGAGAGGATTTTTCTTTTCCTTCCTTTTTCATGGTGGGAGGGACACCAGCATGTTGGCCCAGTGATGATGTCAGGAGTGGGTAAGCGACCACTGCATGCCGCCCGAAGCCTGTTTGTGTAAATATGTCTTTATGGGAACACAGCTGTGCCTCTTTGGTTTTCGAGTTTTCTGTGGCTGCCTCTCACCTCCGACTGTAGAGCTGAGGGGTTGTGTCGCCGTGTGCCTCACACAGCCCGAAATATTCACTCGCTGGCCCTTTACAGAGAAGACGGAGCCTGATGCGAGCCAGGGATGGAGTCTAGAGGAGACCATTGCCGATGCAGGCGGGTGGGGAAGGCCCCGTGCGCAGCTGGACGGTTGGCCTCGCATGGGAGGAGCAGAGGGAAGGGGCAGGTGCGGTCACAGGCACAGGTGGCCAGGTCGCCTGGTGGCGGGAGCCTCTGCAGGCCTCTTCTGCTTGCTTTTCTCTCAGGACCGCCCATTGACAGGGGCGTGGGGGGAGGGGCGCTGGGTTGGGAGCCTGGAAGCCTGGAGAAGCAGGGGCCTCAAGCTGAGCCGATGTGGCCGGGGACACACCATCTACCTGCGGAGCTCTCATCTGGATCGTGGCGGTGAATAAAAGCGAGGCCAGTGGGCGAGGCCTGGATGGTGCACCATGGCATCTAACTTGTGCTAGAGTCTCATGGCTGTCATGAAGCCGTGGAAATGTCAGGGGTCCGTGTCACTAGAAATTCAGGCTCTGCCAGTGAGGAGGCCAATGATGGAGAAACGTTTATGGCAGGGTGGCCGCTTCCTATGGCAGGGACTTCAGTATTCTGGTCATAGTCAATAACTGTGAGCCGCGGGACAAGCCCCCCACTGTGGCCGGGTGTACATGTGAAATCAGTCACTTCAAACTGCTGGAAACAGATCCAATTGGGGGGAAAAAAAAAGAAACCACTGTAGGAACCAAATAAAATACATCTAAAGGCCAATATGGCCTGGGAGCGACCAGGTTCTCACTGCTAAGCTAGCATCAGAGAGCACAGTGCCACTGTCCACCTCTGACCTTGGCCGTGTTCATCTCCCTGCTCCCCTCCCTCGCCTTGCGCCTTGGGTTCCTCCCCTGTAACTCGAGTATCACAAGTGCCTCCCAGGTATCGGGCACCTTCCCTTCTATGCATCGACCATCCCAGTCCTCCCATGAACCCGGTAAGGTAGGGACTCGAATCTGCCCAGGGTCTGAGAACTGCACATGAACCTCGGCAGCCTCTTCCCGGACGCGTCACTTGCAACTCCTGTGCGAGTGGGGCCCACCCTGTGTGGCTCAGCATGCTGCCCTTTGAAAAGCACGCAGTCCAGGCCCTGGTGCTTGCGGCCGTGTACCTGTCTGTTCGCCACCGTGGAAATGGCAGCTCCTGGGGAGCAAGAGATGTCCCGGTCTACTCATTGCCACTTCCTTGGGGCCTTCCTGATTGGTTCAATGATTTGCAAAGAAGAGGTTCGATAGCGGGGCAGGTGACCTGCTCAGCCCCCTATCCCCTACCCCTGCCCAGCCTGCCTGGGCCTGGCTGTGAGGGACCCCAGAAGAACAGTCACTGTCCCTGACACTGGGATCAATCAGGAGCCCAGACCTAGACAGGAAACAATTAGCAGAGAGACGAGAAAAGCAGGTCATTGTGCCCATGATGGTGGGGTGCAGGAAGGCCACAGCTGGTTTATAGGGCCCTGGGGTTGGGGTTAATTTCTTTAAGAGCACTCCTAAGACATCAGACACTGAGATTCCCTAGATGGGACCTTCTCCATCTGCTTCTTATTACGCAGACGCCCATGGCCAGTCTTTGATCCGGGAACAGTCCTCCTGCCAGCCCCCAGGCGGCCCTTTCTCCCCCTCCGTCCCCACCAGCCCACAGACCCTTCCCAGGGCTTGGCCTTCCGTTTCCGTCACTCCTCTCCTCTCTCCTTTTGCAGAAATGGAAGCTCCACTCTCGGAGGCGCCGGGAGGCCCTCCCGAAGACGTCTTCAGGGTGTCACTGTCCGCCAGGTAAGGAGCTCTGCGAATAGCAGACGAGGATGGGGGGACAGGCACCAGAAGCCCTCTTAGTGGGTGTGCTGTAGCTGCACCTGCTCAGAGCGTCCCTTTTCACGTGAAAGATGGGAATGACAAAATCTGTGAGGCTTACCTTCCCTCTGCGGGTTTCATTTATTCAAGTGTTCATTCATTCGTCAGCTCTTCTATGGGGGTGCACGCCAGGTGGCGAAATCAGATATGATGATGGGCGTGGCCACGTTCAGAACATCACGGAGCTTTACCACAAGGGCAGGGACCTGGCTCATCCAGTTCACAGTTGTGCCCCCAACTCCCGACACATAGTAGGTGTACAATCGTGTTACACGGATGAATGGATTACTCCATCCTTGTAAGACTGGCCTGCCCGAGCTAGACGGCTCAGGTGCATTCAGGGCGCGGCATCACGGTTGCATGCATTAATGCACACAGGCTACAGGCTGCAAGGTGATGTGGGGAGTCAACTGGACTCAGATTCTGCTTTTGCCATTGACCGGCCCTCTCGGCTCCGATCATTGGTGAGGATGCCTGTTCCAGTACACTTCCTCTGAGTCTCACCTGGAGCTCCTGCTCTGTGCTGGGCGCCCTGATGGATGTTGGGTTCAATGGCACTGTCTGCCATTAATAACGGTGACAAGTTATAGCTCACGAGGACTTTTCTAGGTTGCTGGCCATATGATGAAGCTATGAGAATGACAGACGGGCAAGTCTCATTGTTCCCATAAGTAACTGGAATAGACTGTCCTTCTTTGGGGGTGAGGGAGGAAACTTCCAAAAAGGATTTGGGGTGGGGGACACTTTGGAGTAATCACAGAGGGCCTCTGCCATCTCCAGGTAGGCCCCTTGACACTCTCTGTGGGCACGTGACACAGGCAGGACACCTGCAGGGCACAGGAGCCCAGGGGCCTTGGTAGTCCTCACCCAGGGGCCCCAGGCCAGGGAATGGAGGCCAACAGGTGGTGAGCATATGGGAAACGGAGGGCCCACGTTCTCAGAAGAGTGAGGGAGCTGGGGTGGGAGTCACAGTTCAGGGTGCTGCCCCAGGAAACAGTGGGGCCATGACGGAATTCAGCTGGCCTGTCGGGAGAGGGTCGCCCGGGTTAATTAAAAGGGTGTTCGAGTCCTGGGAAGCTCCCACCCTCCCTCGGGGCCCAGGAGATTGAGCGCTGGCATCCGGGAAAGCTTCTGGGAGAAGAATGCCAAGGTTAATGAGATGGGATGAAGGTGAGGGAAGGGTAGCGGGGCCTGGGCAGAGCTCCCGTAGCATCAGGGTTTCTAAGGCAGCCGAGGCCTCAGATAAGCCTGACCTGTAGCTCTCAGTCGACTGCAATCATCTTTCGCTCAAAGTCTATAATGCTGCTGAAGGGCAGGACATTTGGAGCCACAGAAAATAGAGGCTTGAGGTCCAGCTCTGACATTTACCAGGGGTGTGACCTTTAGAGAATGATTTAACCTCTCGGCCTCAGTTGCCTAGTGTGAAAAGTGGGGATAAGGGCCACCTTGCAGGTGTACGGTGGAGACCCAGTGAGCTAATCACGGAAAGTACTTAGTACCGTTCCTGATTGCTAGGAAGCACTATTACTGTTATTTCCTCAGTTCCTCCTGTACTTAAAGATGTACAGAAATCCTATCAAATACCGTGTCCTGGTGTGGGGGGTGCCGTGGGCTGCACATTTATGGTAAGGCAGAGGCTTGCCCTTCTCCCTCTCCATTGTGATTGGGCTTCATGTGTCCTGCCCACCCTCCAAGTGGGTGTCTAACTGATAGTCGTCAATTTTGTGCTTGGGAGAGTCTGGCTCAGGTGGTCCTGGGAGGCTGGGAGGCTGGGGAAGGATGTGGCGGGAAGGAGGACAATTCCAAAGCTGCTTCATCTCTCCTCACTTCTGGGAGTCTGTGGGCTCCCCAGGGGTCTTGGACAGGGAGGAGGAAGTGGTGAAGGCACGGTGAACGACTCAGAAGTGGGGGGGAGGAGGGACACAGTGGGGGCCAGAAAAGGCTTGATGCTGGTCCTCTGTGGGGAGGAGCCATCAGCAGGGACCCAGCTGGCAGGAGATGGGAGGAGAGAGCCTGGGCTCCTGGGAGGGGTGTCCCGGGTGTTCGAGAATCACCCAGAGGGCAATTTGGCCCAGATTAGAGATCAGAGCCAGATGGGTAGCACCGGGAGAATTTAATCAGAGGACCTAAAATTGAGGCGAAATCGGAAGAAGGCTAAGATGCTCTCCCAGCTTTTTGGAATGGCAGCAGAAAGGGACTGGAAGGGCCGTGCGGAGGCATCTCAGACAATGGAACCACGGAGTAAAATGCATCTGCTGGGACGGGCTAGGTCCTGTTGGGTGGGTCCTTGCACCTGCCCCTTCTGCCCAACCGGGGGGGTTCTCACCACACGGTGAAGTTACTTCCTCCACACTGAAGGCTGCCCACCAGGTGGCTGCCAAGCTGTCATGAGTCATTGCACTTCCACCACAGCCCCTAACCCAGTACCTGCTACGTGCCAGGAACAGTACCGAGCCCTTCATATTGATGGATGACCTTTCCAAGAACACCCCAAACAAGCAGAGTGGGTTTTTGACGTTCTAAAATAGTTGCAAACCTCCAAGCTCAAGAGTAGAACGCCTCTCTCCCTCTTGGGCCTAAATGATGCATCTCAGATTATTTCCTTAAGGTCAGAGTTTATAAACCACTTTAGGAACCACTTTGAGGTTCCTGATATTTGCAGAAGAACTTATACAACTGGAAAGTGCTACCCACAAAGTCAAAGCATTACCATTTTTGCCTTGCCAGCATCTCATAACGTGCCTGTACATAGTAGATGCTCAGTGCATCTCCAATAAAGGATCATTAATTACCCTTCCTAAGCGATTAGATTCTTTCCTATGTTCTCCATCTGCCCTCTGGTTGGTTTCTGATACCTCCCCCTCCTTCACACACCACACACCCTACCCCACCCCAACCCAAGACTGCCCTTCATCTTGCCTGATGCTGATCTTTCACTGCTTTTGGGACACAATACATAAACACGCATTCCTCCTGCCTTCTGTGGCCGCTGGGATCCAAGCCTAGGATCTTGAGGCCATGCCTGCCCCCAGTCCGCCTCTGCGGCTGGCTGGGCTAAGGCGGAGTCCTGGGTGTGTTCTTCCTCGTGGCAGCCTTGGGCCCCTGGATGGCCTCCAGAGGGCTCAGGACACATAATCATGGGCAGAAAACCCACCTCCTTCCCCTCCTACTCTGACCTCACCAGCATCCTCCCAGGATCCTCCCTGTCCCAAAATAGCCATGCACTCCCCGAGATCTCGCTGCTCCTGGGCCACATGCACTGTGTTCCACGGTTGTGATGGGCCTGCAGGCCTGGGCCAGGGTGCTGAAGGGTGTGCCTCGCTCGGACCGTCACAGCCTCCAGAAGTTCAGAGGAGTAAGCATGGGCCATTAGCAAAGCATTCGGCCCGGTGGGACGGGAGAAGGGCCTTGGGAACAGATAAACGCACCGTGAGACTTCCCAGGCCACTTGAGAAGAAGAATACAAAGATTAGGGAAACTCCCATTTCGGTCTCTGTTCTCAGTACCAAATGAGAAGCAGGACAATACGGGCTCCCGGCAGCGAGGAAGCAGCTCCTTCAGGCCCGCCACGCTGGGGCTGGGCAGGGCTGGCGGTGGGAAGGAGCCCCAACAGCCAGCTGCGGGAGTAGGTGGCTCTACGTTGTGGGCTTCATCTCCAAGGGGAGAGAGGAGCCCAGAGTTCCAGAGGTTTGGACCGCAAAAGCAGGGTCGAGGGGGTGGCATGGTGGGGTCTGTGCATTCACACCTGAGCCAGCCGTGGTTCGGAGCGCGGATGAACCGGAGGGAGGTGGCCCTCAGCCTGGCTTGTGGGAGAGACTGTGGCCATCCACTGGTTCAGTGTGCTAATGAGCCAGGGAGCCCAGAGGAGCCTGGGGCTCAGGGAGGGCTTCACTGCGGAGGTGGCACTGGAGGTTGGTGGTAGGGCATCTGGTTAGTGTAGAGCCTCAGCTGCCGCCATAACAACAGAGCTGCCGATACAGGGACTCCAACAAGGCGGGGGGTAGGTCTCTTCCTTAGCAGGCCAGACGACAGTGGTGCCGGGCTGGGAAGGTGGCCTTGCCAGCACCTTCATGCGGCACGATGCTGGCAATTGCTTTGGTCTCACCATCCCAAGTTTTTAAGAGCAAAACTTGAAGGGGAAGAAAATCCCAACACACATCACTTCCGCTCGTATCCCATTGGTCAGCACTTAGTCATATGGTTACCAGCTCCCCCGGGAGGCCCCGCAGGGGTTTTCTGCTGGGCAGCCAGGCGCCCGGACACAAGTCTGTTGCTGGATAACGGAGGAAAGACTAGCAATCTGCGTAGACGCCATTCCACCCACACGGGCAGAGGCTCTGAGAAGAAGAAAAAGGCGGAATATGTGGGAACGACAAGCAGTTGGAAGCTGGAGCATAGCAGCGGTGATCTGAAATAAGGGTGGGAAAAGACAGCAAAGGGCCAGGCCGAGGAGTTCCAGCTCTCCCCCTTCCAAGAGAGGGAAACGGTTTTCATCCTGAGGGTGACTGATTAGTAATGGCTGCCCGGAGTGTGCAGCGTGGATTCGGAGGCTCCACCCAGGCTCAGTGGAAGGTGTGGTCATCGCTTAGGGATGTCTGTTGTGGGTGCAGGCGTGGCGAGCAGTAACCCCTGCTCTGGCTTTGTTACCCCTCAGGAGGTGATGTGGCATCAGAGAAGGGTTGGGGAGCAGGGATGAGACCTGATCCCGTTTGTAGTCTAGAGCAGTGTCTAGCAATGACGTGGAGGCTGGCTTGAGGGCAGAGAAGCCCCTTCCAGCAAGGAAAGTTGGCAATTGATGTTCAGGCTGAAACAGCCCCCCTGGGCTTGGTTAGCTTCCATATGTGGTAAGAGCTGGTGTCCACATGTCCTGAAGCCCTTTCTTTGTCTAGCCTTACCCTGGTTGCCCTGGTGGCAGATCTCCC